GAAAGCCCCGTTGGCAACAGGTCTGCCCTGGCCTTGGTCCTTTTATGGGGGTTATGGCATGTGACACGTTACCTGTGGGGAGCCTTTGTATCTGAACCCCAAATCCAGCATCCTCCCAGGAGGCAGTTTGAAAGGAAGGAGTAAAGGCCACCTTCAAAGTCCATTCCAGTCCCATTCTTCCCTGTTGCATTTGCAGCCCAGGGCTGGCTGAGGCTGGGGATCATGTAATTCATAGCCACAGCTCAGATTCCCAAAACAAGTTTCCATCCTGGGTTTCCATGCGCACTTCAGCTTCAAACACTCCATAAAGCTTGGGAGCTGAGCTATTTTCTTTTCTTCTTACTTTTGTGAAGTAGGTCATTTTGAGTGTGAAGTATGATGTTTTCCCTTTTTTCTCCTCCCCCCAGAAGTCCTGTGGTTGAAGAGTTATGGACATAGAATGTGTATACGTGACTATGCCGTTACTCAGCTGGAGAGTGGTTTTCAGGGAGAAATGACTTCGAACTCTGAGGAGAAGAGAATTACTAAGAATTACACATTAGGCTTTTAGCTGATCCAAGTTCAGGGATCTGTCTACCTGATGATAGAAAATAAACTCAGCCAGGTGCCAAATTGCTGTTGACTGTGCTGATAACAGGCAGCCCCATCTAAGGGTCTCTCCCTTCGCTCCTGGCTCATCCAGTGCAGAGGTATCCCCTTGAGACCCCATCTTTTGGAGTTTTGGAACCTGTGGCGGCAGTTATTATCAACATACTATTTTCCAAATGGTAGGATCCCACCCAGAGTGACCCCCACCTCCTTAGTCCCAGCTTTGTAAATTCTCTGCACTACCACTGCCATAAACACTCATCTGCGAGGGAAGTCTTGAAAGCCACCAGGATGTGTTTGTGGCACTGGTGACACTTGGTTGAGGGAACTAGCACTCCAGTGGACACCAGCAAAGAGTTGATTCCAGTGTTTCACTCCTGGTCATTTGTAGGTTGATCAGTCATATCACTCTCTCCCAGTGTTCTGGAGCTTTCTGAGGGCCCCCTGCTTCACATTCAACGCTTGACCAAGGTGACTTTTGCACAGTCTCCCCGAGCTAGTCCCTGTGTCACCCCACTAAGGGGGAGCTAATGGATTTGAGCAAGTCATTCACCCTCCTTATTTTTGTTTGTTTGTTTTGTTTTGGGGGCTGGCCGGTATGGGGATCCAAACCCTTGACCTTGGTGTGCCAACACTGTGTTCTAACCAACTGAGCTAGCCGGCCAGCCCTCATTCACCCTCCTGATTGTGTCTTGATTTCAGCCCTACGCTGCCTGACTTTCCATCTGGGCAGAAGCCCAAGGAGAGCCCATGCTTTCATCTCTGGGCCTCCACGTTTAAAAGACGTTCTCCATGCTGCCCCCTTGACCAGAGACCTTGCCGCAGGAACTCTTGGGCTTTTCCTCTTGATCCCAGATCAGCTGAGCTGTGGTAGTTGGTGCTGGGCCTGGGGAGCTGGGGGTTTTGAAATTATCAAGCACAGGCAGAGCCCAAGGTGGGGCGGGTTAATTCCTCTGTAGCCTACTCTCAACGCTTGGCTGCATTTAATCATTCATCCACGTTGACGTGCGAGGCCCGACAGCAAGTCACTGGCGATGGTAGAGCCACCTTATTGAAATAGCATGTTAGCATTTAAACAATATTAATACTATTTGACTCATTAAATATACAAAGGCCAGTTAAACTGCTTCCATGTGTGTGCTGTTAGTCCTGGCGGGCGACTCCTCAGACGGCTTTATGTGGTTTCAGACAACATTTTAGCACATTCTTAAAATACCCACAAAAGCCTTTATGTAAAAACTCATAAATGCGAACCACATAAAAATTATTTTTTTCTTTGTTTCATGTCATTATGATCAAAGTACAGTAGGTAAGAATAAATTTTCAAAAACTTGTTGAGGTCCCTCTTTAATTAATGCTTCACGCACAGAGAGCAGCCATAAACCACATAATGGGGCGACTGTCTGTGCACCCGATGTCACCTCCCACCTGCTCGTGCACAGAGAGGAGGGTGCTTCTGGATGATTTTGAAACGGGCCTTTCAATCACTCAGTCCTCTGCTTCCTTTGTCTTGGAACATCGGGTTGAGACATGTAGCCGCACAGGTCCCTGGAGATTGCTTTTGGTGAATTGAGTTCAAGTCCATTCTTGAATTGTTGCGGTGTCTGGGCCATACCTGCAGAGGCCAGGTCTGAGCACGTCTGCCTCACCTCAGTAGGGAACACCCTGACTCGGAGAGGGAACAGATTCAAAGTGAGAGATCAACAGCGTCACCTCTACTTCTGCTGCCATCGTTTCTTTATTAAAAGTCAAGTCAACTGTAAGTTAGGATTCTACCCAAAGGAATACGATCCCAGCTATTAAAAATGATTATGGAGATCATGTGGCTTCATAGAAAAGTGCTGATGATTCTGTGCCAAGTGAAAAAAGCTGAACTCACCATGGCACCTTTGCTGTGCTTATGGCTGTGTAAAAATTATGCATCTGGACAAAGACTGGAAGGGAATTTGGAAAAATCAGATTTATGGGATAAGTTGATTTATGGTATTGTGGGCTAATTTTTAAATTTCCTTTTCTTTTAACAATGTTCTTGCAGTAAGTTTTTTAATTTTGGGAAAAGGAATAGTAACCCACAAGGTGGTCACGATTGAGCTTGTGTTTTTACCTCCTTTGTCTCCAGCATTTTGAAGCTTTAGACCTGGTTTATGTGGCCCACAAGGGGAGCTAAGGATACAGGGAGAGGCTGCCCAGATGGGAGCTGGGCCACGGGAAGGAATGTTGGAGTGGAAACAGCCAGTACCACCTTATAAAACGTTAATGCTGCTGTTTTCTTTTTCTGGAAGAAAACAACCTTAAGGGATGGGACTGAGGGGGATCAACCCTTGGCCACCTGGCACTTTTGAACTGGTCACTGGATGGTGTTGACAAGGACTGTCGAGCCACCAGGATTTCTCCTAGTTTCCTCCCAGGACAGCCTAACCCTGCCTCTCCCCAGCGTTCAGCACACAGAAGAGCAAGCCTTTGACAGGAATACCATGTGGCTCTGGTTTGGGGAGGCATATGAAGATTGGGGTCACAAACTCTGAGGGAGCAGAAGGATGAGGATGGTCCTGGGCCTCAAGCCTTCGATCTGGGAGGGCCAAAGGAAAGATGGAATTATCAGCTTTCTCTTTTGCCAGCACAAGAAAAGCCACAGTTTTTAAAGTTGTTTTTTTACCCTCTTTTGATGTGAGGTTGCTCTCTCTCCAAGCAGGCTGAAAGGGAACACCGTGTGTTAGAACCAAGCCATCTGTCACCAACAGGAAGGGTATTGGCAGGTCTGGTGTGGGCAGATCCTCTCTTGGTAGCATTAAGGTGCTCATAAGTTAGCATGGTGTGAACCAGGGAGTCACCAGAACCCAGGAGGGCAGGTCAGCCAGGCTCATGGAGCCCACAGCAAGGGCTGGAGTCTAGAGGTGACCCATACATCTCCATGTGTCCCAGGAGTGTTCCAGGATGGCCCCACAGGGGGAGGTGGAGCCTCAGGTCCTAGACCAGAATACTTATCTGCTTGCATTGCCCTGTCCTGAAGAAGGGGGGTTTGGAGAGAGATTTGGAACAAGAGAGATTATCTTCCACAGTGGGGTCCCTGAGTGCCCAGTATTGGCCGATTTCCTGGAGGTCACCTAGGATGGCACTGAGCTCTGGGTCCCACAGATGTGTGTGTTCATTCACTCGTCTTTTTCCTCTCATGGCACTACCTGTGTTGTGCTTGTCCAGAGGGTTCCTCCCCTCCCCTTGCTGTTTGACCAGCATTTAGCTCAGCATCTGGCACCTGGATACTTCCATCCAGCAGGTACTGAGTGCCTCCGACATTAGCCTGGGCAGGCCTGCCAGCAGCGGGGGACAGGGTGAATTCCATATGACAGCCTCGGGAATGCTGCTTCCTTGGTCTGACTGTCTCTCAGTTACACTCTGGTATATATCCTGTACTGACCTTTTAAAAAAATTTTTTATAGTTTGAAAATTGCAAAAAAAAAAAAATGTATATACGAAGAATTCTTATATACCCTTCTCCTGCATTCTGTAAGTATTAATGTTTATCATGTGTATTTTTTATTCTGTAGCAGCTTTATTGGGATATAATGCACAGTATGTGTCAATCTTTAGTGCTTAATCTGCAGTCTCCCTGTGTCGTAACATTTGACTTGGTTCTCTTGGACTTGGGGCCTTAGCCTGATCCCCTTTCTCTTCTGCTCTTTTCTTTCCCTCTTCCATTTGGTCTTATTAGCAGTTTTCTCGTACTGACTGAGATCTGAGAGGAAGCTCCATCTCAAGCTTTGCCCTTCATTTCTGGCTAGGGTTTTGCTGTCAGTTGCTCTGAAAGACCAGCAGGAGCCCTGGTCTGCCTGGGCTCTGGAGGGATCTGGGTGGGGAGGAGTGTGTTACTGTATTTTTTCTTCATCTCCCGGTAAAGTAGCCATCCCCAAAAATAGAAATATTGAACAATAGTAATGGTCTCTAGGGATTGTCTGCTGGATGTTACATGCTGCTCCCAGTCCTTTACCTGGGAGGAACTAGAAGCTCAGAGAAAGTTAGTAAGCTTGCCAAAAGCCGCAGAGCCAGAGAAGGTGGCAAAGCTCAAACTAAAATTCATCTCCTTTGGGGGGGTGGTATGGGGATCTTCTGAACTCTTGGCCTTGGTGTTATCAGTACTGCATTGTCGCAAGTGAGCTGACCAGCCAGCCCTCCAGTTCATCTTTATTACTCCTGTGCCCGTGTTCTTCTGTTTCTTTTCTTTTCATCTCTTCCTCCAACCAGGGGATGATCAAAACCCATCCAAGAACCAGCCCTGGATCCACTGCAGGGAAGGTCCTTAATTTCAGACAAATGTTTAAGTAAACCTTTGCCTGATGACAACCTGGGACCTGGGCTGATGATCTGTACCTTGAAGGGCTTAACAGCTAATGGGCACGTGGGCCTGTTTCCTGCAGGTATTTTGAAGGTGGCGTCTCATCTGTCTACCTCTGGGATCTGGATCATGGCTTTGCTGGAGTGATCCTCATAAAGAAGGCTGGGGATGGATCAAAGAAGATCAAAGGCTGCTGGGATTCCATCCACGTGGTAGAAGTGCAGGTACAGCCTCCCCAGCAGCTAGCAGCCAGGGCCAAGTGTGGATGCCACACTGCTCGGTGCAGCCCCACCCTCTAGCAGATGCCTCTCCAAGGGGAGCTGCTGTGATACATAAACCCCTGTTAATTCCAAAGCCATTTGGATAAAGATAAGTCAAGGCTGCGGTAGTCACTGAGGATAAAGTTGCCAAAAGAACCTAAGACACATGATTGCAGATTCTGACTGTCCCTTTAAAAAACCGGTTGGGATTTTATAAGGTAATGTGGTAATGACTTAGGAAGGGACATCTTAGAATGACTGATGATCAAGGGGCCGCTTCAGGCCCTCCTTAGCTCGGGATGCACCCAAGGTTCTGATCTCTGTCTCATCCCCCCAGGAGAAATCCAGTGGTCGCACCGCCCATTACAAGTTGACCTCCACGGTGATGCTGTGGCTGCAAACCAACAAATCCGGCTCTGGCACCATGAACCTCGGAGGCAGCCTTACCAGACAGGTAGAGTTACGCATTGGTAGCCAGTTGCCAGTGCCCCCAGGGCCAGCCTCAGTGCTGAGCTTCTGCAGAGATGAGCTGAGTAGTTGCCTGCCTGCAGCGAGCAAGCTTAGCCAGCTGTGGACCCACCAGGAAGTAGGGCTTCACATTTTCAATTGAGCACCCTCTGAGCTGTATGAAGTTGCCCACCTGCCCTTTCCCAGCTGGCTTCCTGCTGTAGGAGGACAAGGTGACTGCAGGTGTGCTCTGCTTTCTTCTCTTCGCTCCTCAGAGCTCACCATGCCCCTGTACTCAGGCTCACGGGGTGCCATGGGAAGCGGTGCTTTGCTCTCTTTGCCGTCTCTGTGGTCATGGGTGTGCACAGCCCCATCAGTCAGGTCAGCTCTCTGCAAGCCGCTCGTCTGAGTTCCGGGTATCTGTGCCTTGCTGCTCTCAGCCTGGTCTGAGGACCATCATCACTGAAGAGCTTGTTAGAAATGCAGAAACCATGGGTCCCCACCCAGATCTACCAAAGCAAGATGTGCATTTTAACAAAATTCCCCAGGGAATTTATGTGCATGTTAAAATTGGAGAAGTGCTACTGTGTGCCTTTCACTCATCTTTTGCTTGGGTATCACTAGCAACCCATGTCCAAGATGTCCCTTCTGGGCTGGGTCTAAGGTGAACATGGAGCTTGGACTAGAAGGCTCTGCCTCTCCTGGTGCAGCCTTGTCTTCACTGCTACTTTACACATACAAGCAGCCTAAGACCCTTGTCTAAGGGTCCGTATTTAAGACCTTTGACCTGACCAAGACCTTTGACACGTCATCCCAAGAGAAATCCTTGCCCTTGTGTCAGTGCAATATGGCAGATGCTTTGTGTGTGCGGAAGAGAAAATACGAGCCAAGTGCACCTTGGCTTCAGAAGGAACCACGCTTTGCCCTCAAGAAGTCAGTATTGGCAGAGACGCAACAGCCTTGAGAACGTCTCAGGAGGAGCCTACTTCTGCAAGGATAATTCTTCCCATTTCCCATTCCAGTAGTGTCTGACTTTCACGTATGAGGATTCCTTTTAAAATCAAAAAATTAGGGGCTGACCATTCAACTCAATTGATTAGAACGCAGTGTTACAACACCAAGGTCAAGGGTTCAGATCCCCGTATTGGCCAGCCGCCAAAAAAAATTATTTTCTCATTAAGATAATTATACTTTTAATAGCTGTTGATAGAAAAAAATGTGGGGAAAAGGTTTGGTTTAGTAACTCTTGTAAGTGAATTTGTCCTCTCCTAGTCACAACAGCTTCAACATGCACTTCAAAAATATTACTGCAAGGCCAGTTCAGCGAACATGCCTGAGATGTGTGTCAGAGCCATAGACTCTCCACGTGCAAAACCTCTACTTCCTCTGCTGTGTTATGGGGTCCAGAGGCCAGAAGGGATCTTGGGTCCCCTCTGGCCTCTGGACAGGGCTTGTTCCTGCCCTATCCTGGAACCAAGCACCAGTGTTCACAGTGGAAATAGGCTCTTGTCTTCCAGGGACCATGACTGGAGGGGGCAGTCAAACCCCAGGCCACCAGCACCTCCACAGCCTGCCTCCCCTACACCCTGCCACCTGGGGAATGGGTGGAAAATCCTGAATCTGTATCCAGACACTGCTTCCTGCATCACTTACCGCTCCGAACTGTTTATAATTCCACCCGGTTTACAGTGACCTGGACAAATATTTAGTCCTTGGCCTTCCTAATAGTTTAAATCAGAGCTGTCAGCCCATGGCCAGGCCCTGGTTCCGGCTTGCCGGGAGTGGTACCTCCTGCCAAGCCAAACGTGGCCTGCCGAGTGGCTGTCCTCGGCACACCTTGGCTGGGCTGCCGGCCTCATTTGCTCTGCCTTTTGCTCTTGGGGCTTTAATGAGGAAATTCATGCTCTGTCATCATCCTAACAGCCGATCATATAATTCTTCTGCGGTGCGTTAAAGCTGGGGCTGGTTTCCAATGTAAGTAACTGTAAAGGGGGGCGGGGGCCACGAGTGGACAAGTCTAAGCTAATGATGCGCAGCTTCTGAGCAAACGGGGGAAATGAGGTCTGCGGCTGGGCTGTGTGTCCCAGAGGAGCCTTGGAAAAACGTCTGTGGTTGCCTCGGATGGGAGATGAAGGTTCCAGGAAATCCATGATGAAGAGTAGCCTGCGGTTGTGCGGGCCACCGCCTCCATTAGCTTGTGAGCCTGGTAGAGTTCTCGTCCCCACGTGACAGGTGAGGGACTGAGGTTCAGGGTGTTAAACAATGTGCCATGGTGATGTCACCAGTAAGAGGCAGAGCCAGGATTTGAACCCAGACTTGTTGGACCAACAAAAAAGCTATTTCTGTCACACCACACTTTGTTGGTCTTAGTCTGTCCCCTGGCAGGACATCCAGTAGACGCCAAGTAAACATTCAAGTGGAAATGCATTGAGCAGTCGGCTCAGTATGGATAGGACCCTACCCTGCAGGCACCTGGTGACATTCAGATGGCAGTCTCTCCTTCCCCGGCACAGCATGGGCATCTGCTATAGACCTACGACCTCAGAAACAGGACCAAAGCTGCAGAGTCCCATGGTAGGATCAGGCCTCCCCAGGGGTGTTCTGAGCAGCACCCGCCTTTGGGTTCCTCCTGCGGGTGCACACTGGGCATTCAGGAAGCAGGCTGACTAGAGGGGACACATTCACTCTGGAGGTAGTGAGGAGTGTTTAAGATTTTGAGGGAGTCAGGTGATCTGAACAGATTTGTGTTTTCAGAAGATGTCTTTGTCAGCTGGCATGGGGGGTTGGGGAGGATGGGGAGGGTTGTTATAATTGTCCTGGGGAGAGGGGTGACAGGGGCCTAGACTGGGCAGCCCCAGGACAGCAGGAGAGGACAAGCAAGGAGGTCAGTGAAGAAGTTGGTGTCAGCTCAAGGCAGGAGAAGGAAACGAGGGGCAGCAGCTGACACTTTGGGGCAGTGCGTCAGGGCCTGGGGTGATCACCAGGACACGCGAGGTGGGGGTAGGGGTTGGATGAGTCTTCTGGAAACCCGGCCTCGTCCCAGTCACCCTCACATGCCCTGTGTATCAGGAAGGCAGGCCACTGTTTTTAGAGCCGTCTCAACAGGCCCGCAATGGCAGGTGCTCATCCCACAAGCCGTCCTGATCAGTGACCAGGAACGCTCCTCAGTAGGGCCAGGATCCTGTGGTTCCCGTGTCATGTCACCCCCACCCTGCCCACCAGCCTGGGTTCTGTTCCCTGTGGGAGGGGAGGCCCCAGGTGTCCCCTTGTTTCCCTCTTCTCCCCATGCCCCATTTGGAGAAGGGGTCCCTTCCCACAGGCATCCCGGGCTTTGCTACACCTCCTACCTCTCTCAGTTGACACGGCTCATGGGAGTGCTAGTGAGCAAGGGGGACAGCTGCTGGCTGGCCTGTGTCAGCTGATGCCTCACCCGAGCCTTGTTGCCCAGCTCATGGGGAGGCGCGACAGTGGGCTAAAGCCATCACACGCGCTTACCTCCCCTCCTTTACGTTGGCCTTTTGCTCACCCACCCCCAGCCCTGCCAAAAGATGTCTCAGGGACACTTGGTCAGCTGGAAAATGAAGTAGCTAGGTAAAGCATATTTACAAATCCCTGCAGCTGTGAGGCTCTCGGAGGGAAGGGGAGCCGCTCGCTCTGGCCGCCTCGTACCAGGCTGGTGAATGCCTGCGGGTGGGGGCAGCAGTGGCGGTGGAAGGTACCCTTTGGCGGCTTGCCACCAAGGCCCAGCGGGAAGGATGTGGAGCTAGTGAAAAACGTGGCAAGCCAAGTACCAACACGTTGAAAAGGAAGTTGCACTGAGAGGTCACTTCTTCTGTGTGACAGCAGAGACGTGGGAGAGGCAAGACTGTAAATCTCTGGAAAGAGATCCAAGGTTTCCCATCCGGGGAAGGGCCCTGCAGATGTTCGTTTGATTTTTTTTCCCCCCAAGATTCTAAATATTTAGGGATGAAGGTGGAATGTTTTGTCGAGTAGAGAGATCAGGCCTGTCCTTTGCTCTCCCTGCTCTGCAACAGGCACCCCTTGATATATCTTCAGGCAGTGAAACACCAGCAGGGACACTTGGCCCAGGGATCGTAGCAGGAGAGTCCTCTTTGACTTGTGCTTGGCAATTAGGCCAGCCGGTATATTTTCCTCAGGGGAAGAAGCCCATGGCCCTTCCTCGCAGATGTAGGAACAAAGGGTGGGCTGAGCCCAACTTAGGGAAGGGTGGCGCATGCTCGCTGGGGGGGCGCGGCTGCAGCTGCAGACCTGCTCCTTGTGTTCCAGGAGCTTGCCTGGGTTCGCGGGTGGAGACGCTTGAGCAGTGTGGCTTCTGGGGACAGTTGTGTTTTTGTCAGATGACCTGGAGTGGAGTGACCCAGTGCCTGGTTGAGAAGGAAAGCTGGCAGGAGGCTGCCTCCCTGACACCATCCCCTACTATGAAGGACAGAGGCAGGACAGCAACGGACCAGGGAGCCTTGGCAGGAGGCGGACACTGCTTGGAATTTCTGAGCCCTGGATTGTGGTTTGTCCTTGGCTTTTCTCGTAAAGAGAGTAGATGAAATTGAGCCAGTGGAGAAGTCTCATGGAAGAAAACAGGTTTTGGAGTCATCCAGACCTTGGTTCACTTCCTAGCGCAGCCACTTGCCAGCTGTGTGGCCTGGACAAACCACTTCACTTCTCTGAAGCTCAGTGTTTTCACCATAGAGTCGATAATGCCTATTTTGAAAGGTTGTTGTAGAGTAGAAATAAAAAATCATTTCCACCTGTGGCTTATGCTCAATAAATAATAGCTATTACTGCTACTGCCACTTACAAGCAGAGATTTCTAGAAGAGATATATACAATTTTAGACTCAATTAAAATTTTCCTAAACTGGACAAACGTATCCTTCCCCGGAAGGCTGCCTGACCATCGTCCTCTGGCTCAGCCTCATGTGAAGCCCTGGCCTCTGCCTGGTCTCTTACTTGCAGCACATTTCTGTAACCAGGAGGAGCCAGAGACCAACACAGTCCTGGGAACAGAGCTGTCCTCTGACAGTCATTAAGAGCTGCGGGTCTGCCAGTCACCGTTCTAGGCATTTCATGTATGTTAGCTCATTTCGTGTAGAGTGAAGACAGGGAAATCAAGGCCCATGCAGCCAGGGCTGGCTTCTTTCAGCACCTTCCCAACCCCCATTGTGTTCACTAGAAGACACTGTGTGGTGGCGGGAGACACAGAACCCCCCGTTTGAGAAAAACCTCCTGCCTGTGCCCTCCCATCTCAAGGCCATGGGGGGAGGGGGGTGCTGTTCGGGACCAGTGGGCTGGGCTCTGACTTCAGACTCAGTTGGAACCACCTTGTGGAACATCTGTGCGGCCACAGCACATAAAAATGTTTTCCTTCTGGCAGCCACTTTTATAAGGATGTAATAATATATGCATTACAAAAATAGTTCTATTTTTGGTGGGTCGGCATTGCCAGCAAGCCGACCCTGACCAGGTGTGGAGGGGAGTCGGCAGGAGTGCAGGCCAGAGGGCTGTGGAAACATGTCTGTGTGTGCATGATCGCTGCCCCCTCTCCCCGGCCCACCTTCTTCCTGCCCTTCCGCAGCCCCTGCTGGGCCTTTGATTTGGGCTCAGATTCCCTGCCATGAGCTTGGGGGCCCTGTGTTCTCCTGGGGCGCTGGTCTGCCTCTGGGGAAGACCAGCCTTCTCGCTTTCCCGTCCGCCACATCCTCTTTCACCTCTGGGCAGCCAGTGGTTTCAGCCTTGCTGCTTGTTGGAAGAAGGCTCTTGATTCTGATGTGACTCTACTTACCTTGATAGCCCAGAGCCCTTTGCCAGCAGCTTGGCTGCACTTTGGGCTATTGGTGCTCACGTAAAATGGGGCCCTCACAGAGCTCAAAGCTCTCATGCCCTCCCTAGGGTGGCCAGGAATGCGCCCCCTGCGTGGAGCTGGGAATGGAGAGACTGTAATTTGCTGGAAAGGCATAATTCATTTGAATCAGACCCCCCAGGCTTCTCCCTGCCCAGCAGCGCAGCTCTCTGAGCAGCCTTGAGTCTGGGCACAGTAACCATTTCCATGTGGGGAGAGAGAACACACAGTCCCAGTGAGTTGGCGTCCAAAACTTCCTTTTAAAAATGGGTAGATGGAGCACCCTCCTTCCTCCCAAGTGTGCGCCCCAAATCCTGTTCAGTTCACACACCAACCAGTTGTCTTGGCAACAGGGCTTTGCTAAGGGAAGGTGATGTTCTAGCAAACACTGCAGTGGTATTCATTAGACCTGAAGTGGAAGGGACTTGTCACTCTCAAGTTCATGGGCACTCTCACTGCTCCTATTTCCTGGGGACCCTTTGGAGTCTCTGAAGATCAAGACTCCCCAGGATGACTCACCAAAGAGTACCTGGGACAGTTCAGGGCCTGGGGTTAGGGGGACAGAGAAACTGATCATTCCGGTGTTTCTCTCTTTTCCCTTTGACCAGTACTCAGCAAAACAGTCTTGCCAGAACCAGATATCTTTGCTCTGCAGAGATTAGTCTCAGAGCTTTGGAAGGGCCTTGCATGGCCACAGGCTCCAGACTGTCACCTAAACTGGATCCTCTGCTGGAAGCATCTTGGCCAAATGGCCACTCCATTTGTCCTCAGTCACCTCAGTGACCTGAAGCTCATTGCTCTATGAGCAGATGCCGCTTGTGGACAGCTCTGTAGAACATACTGAGCCCAATTCTGTCATTCTGTGATGTTCTCTCACCCCTTGGTCCCACTTCTGTGAACTTCAGTGATGTAGACTGGGTCTGCTCCCTCTGCCAGATATCAGGCCTTCAGCGCCCTGCCAGCATCTCCTGAGCCCCGCCCCCACTTCCCAGGCTTGAATGTCCCAGTTCTTTCCCATTTCTTGGGGTCCAGGTGTTCAGACCTTTAAAGTGGATGAACTCTGACTTGTCCATGGCCCTCTTATGACCCACTGCTCTGAACTGAATCCAGCCCTGCAGATGTGACTGGGCCAGGACAGAGCAGAGGGGGACCGACTGGTGCCTTCCTGAGCAAGTACTGGAACCTTGCAGCTGCAACTTCGTCATCATAGGATGGCAGCAGGGATGCCACCGCTGGTCTGGGCACTGGTAATTGTTTCATTTGTGTACCCTAAAAAGGATTTAAAGCTGTCATAGAAGCCACATCTCATTCTTGTCAAGCTTGAACTCATTTAAAAACCTCCACAGCCTCTTCCCAGGAACTGTTTGCAAGTCGGCTGTTCCCCGTTTTGTACTGAGATGAACGTTTGAGCCTACGTCTCTGGTTTGCATCAGCCCCGGTAAATTCAGCTGGCATGGTGAAGCAGGAAGAGCAAGGGCGCTGGAATCTAATAGTGCCCTGTGATCAGGGCAGATTGCCTGCGTTGTTAAGCGTCTGTTTCCTGGGGTTTAAAACAGGCTTCCGGACTGGCCAGTTAGCTCAGTTGGCTAGAGTGCAGCCTTATAACACCAAGGTCACAGATTCGGATTCCGGCACTGGCCAGCTGCCAAAAATAAATAAGTAAAATAGAGTGCTTAGGAAGATGGAGTGGAATAAGGTGGCTGCCACTTGGTGAGCATGCTCTGCTTGGTGGCTGCGGTCATTCTGGAACCAACCCATGTTTCCAGGTGCTGTAGTAACGCTCTGACCATCTAGACCCTTGAGGCTGTTGATGGGATTCTGTTGAACCCTCTCAGCTGTGCCGTCATTTAAGTCTGGACAAACAGGCTGACCCAAGGCAGGCAGAGGCTCCTCCAGGCTGCCACAGAGGCCACCAGGGACTCCATGTTGAGCCTTTCATCTCAGCCACGGCCACAGGGTCTTAGCCTGCTGGAAGGATATGGGCTTATTAGGGTAGTTCCTGGCCTTCCAGCCCAGCCTCCCCATCAGAAAAGGAAATGAGAGGGTCTTGTGGCAGAACTTGTTCACAGTAAGACCATGCTGGCTCCTCGTGATCTCTGATTTAAAATGTGCCAACAGATGATTTTTAACAATTCCATCAAAAGTGGTTGTCTGGCTCAGTTTCAGACTAATGTGTATTTTCCAGATTCTGCTCTTCTGTCTTTCATGAGAGTCAGGCCAGCGCTGCTGCCCTCTAGTGTTCACACCCCTAAAGTGCACGGTGCTGTCACTTTCAAGGAAGGCTCTTAACACAGGGTGGGTTGGTTTGGCCCTGGAGGCCTAGTCATTTAGAGTGACTTGGTTCTCTCTTGCCACCTGCTTGTCCGTTTGTGTCTTCAGCTCCTTCTTAACCGGGTCTGTTCTGCTTTCCCAGCCGGAAAGTCAATCTCCCTGCTGTAGAAGATGAATAAAAATAGGTGAGGAGCCACAGAGCTCTGACCCAGAGCGTAGCCTCGCCACCCCACGGTCTGCCCATTCTTCTGGGTCTGAAGATGCAACCCTGCCTTTTCTGTACTGTTTTTGAGTAGCCTGAACTCATTTTGAGCTCAAGCTTTCGTGATATCTTTCTTTCATCTTTTTTTTTTTTTTTTTTTTTTTTTTTT